ACATTACATCCTAGAAACCTACGTTCTATTTGCGAAGTCCAATTACTACAAGAACCAAGAGAAGTACCCAACAACTGCGAAATACGACATTTTCAACTAAGAACTAGTATTTTTCACAAACTTAAATATCAGAATAAGTGGTTATATGCTACCACTAGTGAAAATATAATTATCAACTGTGAAGATGATAAAGAATCAAGTACACATATTTTAGAAGGAGTTGGTATAATAACTCTTAACGAAACATGTAAAGGATACGCTAACAGAGATTTACTAATACCTGGAAAAATCGAAGATCACAATGGATACGAAGATTTTGTACCAAGATCAAATATTAAGGAACAATTTGAAGACACTTCATCACTAAAGGACTCAGCTTTACAAGATAAAGATGTAATCAACAACTATATGAGCGACTTAGACTTTATATCAAAGACACGGGAAGACATACAACAGCAAAGTGAACATGAGGATCATGTGCACAATATAAAAATAATTTAACTATACATAATTATTTATTATATACAACGAACATAATAATAATTTTAATCATGATTATTGTTATTTCGCACCATTTTAATTCAAAAAAAGAAGAACGAAAATCTTACAACGAACAAACTCAAGAAGAAGGGATTCAACAAGAAGAAATGGAATCTATAAGATTGGAAGACATAACAGCTACCACTACCACAACTTCAGTTACTTACCTTATAATGACATAATATTTCAAATTAAATATAACATAATATACCTATTCTAGACTAACATCTCCGTTCAGAATCGTTATTCATAAACAATAAGATCTATTATTCCGTTTAAATTTAACACATCCATTATAATGACCTACTCTATGACCGAAGTTCACTTCTCTTATATACTGTACAGCAGAACGAGTTCCTGGCTTTTTTAATAAGTAAAACATAAAAATTTAATACAACATTCCGACTCTATTTGCACCCTGAACTTTTATTACTTTAAAACTATAACGTTATTGACTTATTATTGAATATAATCTATTTAATTTTTTAATATATTGTTATGTTTAACTTTTATACTTTTAGGGAACATTAAGCTTTTAGATTTTAACCATGAAGAATTAAATAAAAAACATTTATGCATGTTACATTTTTCCAATTCTGATTTCACTTTCAATAAACGAAATTTGAAAAAAAAAAAGGCCATTCTAAAAATGTTTGAAACAGAAAGTTCAACATTAAAAGTATTAACCCCGAACAAAACCTATACTTCAAAACATTTTCCGAAAAGCCTCGAACCTTCGACACCATTCCAATCAAAAACATTCAAAATAAATTCTCCAGAAACTACTCCAATAAGAAATTAAAACATTAATTTGAAAAATGGCGATGGTTTTTATTTTCCAACACCAAAAAAATCCGTGAAAAATTCTTCTTCAACATCTTATTTATTAACATCATCTCCAGAGTTAACTCCAAACTCAAAATCAATAATAAAATCAACAATACATTTTACGAACCCTTCAATTAGTCCTAAAGTACTTTTTCCAAATAATAACATAATTAAACATAATAATAGTATTAATAAAAAAGTACTACAATTAAAAAAAGTAGTTGAAAATCAAGGTCAGTTATTAAATTATAAACGTGCTTCAATTTCAAAATTACGAAATAATTTGTCGATTTTAAAGTCCAAAATGAAGAACAAAGATATTTTTAATAAAATACATTTTCCATCACATGATTCGAAGACATTAGTGAAGATGCAAATATTACAATCTAAAACATCAAGAAACTCATGGTCTTTTGATGAAAAACAATTTGCTTTAAGCTTATTTTACAAATCACCATCTGCATATAAATTTTTAAAAAATTCTAAACAAATTATTTTACTTGGAATATCCACTATACGTCGTTGGATTGGGAATTTTAAATTCAAAACTGGTTTCAATATAGGAATTTTGAAACAAATAAAAATGAAAGCTGATACAATGACTGAACAAGAACGATTTTGTACATTAGTGTTTGATGAGATGAAAATTAAAAATTACTTAGAATATTCTAAGTTTCTTAATCTTATTGAGGGGTACGAAGACTTAGGCCCAAAAGGACGTTCAAACAAATTGGCTGGACAAGCAATGGTGTTTTTAATAAGAGGTGTTTATTCAAAATGGAAACTGCCTTTTGCATATTTTTTACCAACAACGTCAGTCAACCAAATTATTTTAAGTGAACTTTTGATCGAAGCAATCAATAAACTATTTGATTGTGGATTTATAGTTTTATCAATGATTTGCGACCAAGGGACAAATGATGTTACAGCTCTACGAAAGGATCTATATATGACTAAAGATAAGCCATTTATTGAAATAAAAGGAAGAAAAGTATTTTCGGTGTTTGATGTTCCTCATTTATATAAAAATTTCAGGAACAATTTCATAAAAAATAATTTTTTATATAAAGGGAATGAAACGTCTTTTCAAGATTTAAGAGATACTTCTGAATTAGACAAAAATAGTGGCACAAGTCGGTCACTTTTAAAAATTACCAACAGTAATATAAATCCTGGGCCGTTTCAACTAATGTCTTGCAAACTTGCTATGCAATTATTTAGCAATTCAATGGCAACTACAATGCAATCGTGTATTTTAACAAAACAATTGAAATCAACAACTATACCATATACCATAGAAATAATCAAAGACTTGAATAACATATTGGATATTTTAAACAGTTATTCATTATTCAATTCAAATCCATATAAATGTGCCATTTCTCAAGAACGTCTACAACAATTACAATACTTACTTAAAGCAAGAAATTGAATTGAAACGCTTGAAAAAAAAAATACTAAAAAACGACAAGATACCAGACCACCATGCTTTGATGGATTAATATGGACAATAAATTCTATAAATATGTTGTATACTCAACAATGTAAAATGAGATACAATTATTTACTGACCAATCGATTTAAGTCAGATGTGATGGAAAATACTTTTTCTGTTTTCCGTCAAAAAGGTGGCTATAATCGGTAAGAAAAATTTTTAATTATATATTCTCCGTAATTTATATATTATCAAAGTAACCTCAAAACAATTTTATTTTTTATAAAATAACAAATAATTATAAAATATATTTAAATAATACTTAATAATAATAGTTTAGGAGTTAAAATAACAATGTATTTATTTTTATTTTTATTAATTTATTATTATTATAATTATATGATATATATTATGATTTTAAGGAACCCAACAGCCAGATTATTCAGGACTACATTCCGATTGAATACTAAAATGAATTTAATGAAACTGCCTAAACAGTCTAACTGCCAACCCGATGATGATACAAATTTAATGTGTGAAAAAAACATTAATTTAGATTTAGAAGATGACAATGATAGATGCAGTTCAAATTGTTCAAATCTTTAATTTTCTTCATTATCGTCAAATGAAGTTATATTTGAAGAAAATTACCCTCTAAATGTCACATTAGAAGACTGCTCTAATACGTATTTTGCTGGTTATTTGGGGAAAAAGTGTATGGATAAATTTAAGTGTAAAGTGTGTGAAGGTATTATGTTAAAAGATATCGAGGTTGCTACTTTTGATAACCAGGAGTTTTTAATATTTTGTAAAAATTATTCTTCAGATATTTCTTCGATATTAAACTTAAAAAGGCCAACAGAAAATTTTTGTAAATTTGTATCCATAGCACAAAAATTTTTAAAAAAATTGTTAAGAAAATGCCTCATAAGAAAAATATTGCTAAATTTATTTTCTCTAAAATTAAAAATGATTTATCTTCAGTTTTTCCTATTCATTCTTCTTGCAAATTACATTTTGATTTTCTCATTACTCATTTAATAAATTACAGATTGTCAAGAGACTTTAATTGGATATCAAAAAATATTAAAAATAGAAGTAAAGATAAGAAAAAAAATAAATTATGTATTTTAAATAATATTTATTGTGTTTTGTATTTTATTAAAATATCAACTTTATTTCATTTTTATTGTTAACATTTCTTTATTATTATTCATACAGCCTTTACAAAGAAAATAACATATTATTATCATTATGGTAAGTTTATAATAATAATATCTGAAAGTATTCAATGTATTTATGTAGCATTTCAAATTCAATGAAGACGTGGTAAATTTCTGGGATAATATTGGGAATTGATTGATTTAAAAATAAAATAAAAATATAGGCGAGAATAAGTGCCGAATTATAACAAAGAGTATAAGCAGTATATTATTGCATATTGTTATAAGGCGACTAATGCGTATACGCATGTTTGTAACCACCACACTATAAAATTAATATGGTATATTATTCATAAAAATATCATAAAATTATTTAAGCTCGTATGCTGTATGCCTGTACTACTATAATTCATGTTTGTACTAGTGGTGGGTAGTTACTACTGTATTCGGTGCAATGTAACGATTACATTGGTGGAACGAGTAGGAACGAGTACATATATCGTTCCACGTTCGTTCCATCGGTACATTCGGTACAAAGTTTCAAACTACAAAATGGTCCCCTACCGTCACTGTCCGGGTACCGAATACCGATTACCGACGGTGGTTGAATAGTAACGAGTTGTCACGATAATATATTATACGTCTATGTCGTCTCGGTTTACTATTTACTTTACCTGCTGCTGTTGTTGTGTAGTTGTGTTGATATTTGTTGATAATCGTAGGGAGAGGGTGGTAGTGGAGGTGGACAGTGAATGCTATAATTAAAGATATAATGCAAAATCATACGAGTACGATAATAATTTTATCGTGTTTTTATTTTTATCAAGAAGTTTAAATTATATTTGAAGTAAAATTATTTTTAGATTATTGTATACACGGTTGTAGAATTATTTTTATGTAAGCTGTATAATAATCATAGGCATTATGCAGTATTGCTGTGCAGTGGTAGGCACTATATGTCAGACGTGCGTGTTTACTGTTTAGATTGTTTAGACCTATTAATTTTTATTCATATTTTCGTAAATATTATAATAATGGACAGAAAAAAAAGCAATGTATGGAATCATTATTCGGTTATTAATAGTGGAATGGCTAAATGTTCGTATTGTTCAAATTCGGTGTCTTATAAAGGCGGATCAACTACAAACTTAAGTAAACACTTAAAACGAAAACACATAATTCAATATGAAAGTAGAAAACATCCGCGCATTAATGAAATGATTGAACAAAATGTTGATGAACCAAGTAAGCAAAATACACACGAAACAAATAATGATCAAAATCAACCTTCTACATCAATCAATGCAATTAATGTCATAAATAAATCTCGTTCCATACAAAAAAGTGTAGATTCGTATTTTATTAACAATAAACCACTTTCTGTTTCAAAACAAAAAACAATTGATGAACAGCTAGGAGTTATGATTTCAAAAGAATTCCAACCTTTCAGTTTAGTTGAAAATGTTGAATTTAAAAAATTCATATATTTATTAAATCCTAGGTATCAGTTACATCGAGGAAAACTGTTTCGAAATCTATTTTACCACAGTTGTATGAGAAAACAAGAGAAAAAGTTAGAAATAATTTATTAAATGCCAAATATATTTCATTTACAACTGATGGCTGGACTTCCATAAATAATGATAGTTTTATTGCTGTCACTGTACATTTTATCGATCCAGAAGAATGTGTTTTAAAAACATTTTTACTTGGATGTTTTAATGTGGTGGAATCCCATACAGCTGTAAATTTGTCATTATTTTTAAATAATTGTTTTAAAGACTGGAATATAACAGAAAAAGTAAAAGTTGCTGTGAGTGACAATGCTGCGAATATAACATCAGCAATCGTCATGAATCAAAATTGGCGCCATATTCCCTGTTTAGCGCACACATTAAATCTAATTGCACAATCTGGACTAGGTGAAATAAAAAGAGTTCACAAAAAAGTAAAAAACATCGTTGAATATTTTAAACGAAGTACAAAAGCAAAACTTAAAAATGCACAAAAACAAATGGGATACCCGGAATTAAAGTTAATTCAAGACGTTTGTACGCGATGGAACTCCACGTATGACATGTTTCAACGGTGTATCGATAATAAAGAACCTCTTATGAGTACAATTGCAATAATAGGTAATATGGATAATTTAGTACACGCAGACTTTGAACTAATAAAACACTACTGTGCGATATTTAAACCGTTTAAAGAAGTTACTATCGAACTAAGTAGCGAAAAAGGCATTTCGATTTCAAAAGTGTTAATTTTAATAAAAGCATTACATTTACATATAAAAAAATAAAGAAAAAGAACCAAATTTACCAAATGCTATACATTTGATGCTTTCTAAAATGGTAATAAAAGCCAATGCTAAATTTGAAAATATCGAAAACCAGCCTGTTTTAACAGAAGCAACTATTTTAGACCCACGGTTTAAAAAAAAAGCATTTAATAATCAGTATACATATCAAAAAACATACGAAAAGATAGTATAAAAAGTTGCAACAATTATTCGTTTAAATCAAAGTCCAGTAGAAAATGAAGAAAATAAGAAAACCATACCGACCGATTGTGGAAACGAAACTTCTGAAATTTGGCAACAGTTTGACTCTCAGGTACATACATTATACATTGATATGATGTATAATGTATACATCATTGATATTTTGATATTTAAGTGATTTATAAAATTAGTTTATGATTTTTAGGTGTCTACTTCAACTTCAGTCAACACACCAACATCTGAGGCTATTGTGGAGATGGATAGATATTTGAATGAACCTATACTGGACCGAAAATTAGATCCTCTTAAATGGTGGAATGACAGAAAAAAAATCTATCCAAATTGATTTGATTTGATGTTATTGCGTTTGTGTGTACCATCAACATCAGTTCCGAGTGAAAGGGCCTTTTCAAAAGCTGGCTACACCATTTCCGAAAGACGTAATAGATTATCAACAAAAAAACACGGAAATGTTGATATTTTTAAACAGTAATTATTAAATACTATTATTTAATTTTTAATTTTTATCCATTTTAGGCTTAGGCAAGTAACTAAGTTAATTTTAGAAGTTTGAGTTTATTTATTTTATTGTTATTATTTTTTTTTCTGGGGTAAAGTGAAGTGATTTTTTTTTTGTATTTTTATAATTATTTTTTGCTGAAAATAAATATGTTTATTATTTATGTGGTTTGTTTTTTTTTTGAATCTATAGTTTATTTAATATAATTGTAGCGATTGGAAAAATATTAAAACGATGATAATTTTTGATTAAGCATTTCAAATGTATATTAATATAATGATTCATAGTATTGTAAACAATGTTTACAAAAACATAGTGTTTCTGATACAAATTTAATTATTTTAAGTTAATTTTTCCCGAATATAGTAAAATAATGTTGTATAATAGGCCTACGAGCTACGAAGCATATTCGTTCATAAATATTAAATATCCATTGCAAGAATGAGTAAACATTTGAATATATGTATTTTTATCGTTCCGCGAAGAACTATACGAATGTGAGTACAAGTGTAACTAAAGAAAGAATGTACCGATAGTAACGATGTAACGATGTAACGAGTATTTTGGAATCGGTACCTTATTGTAACTGTACCGATTGGAACGATTCCACGAAAGGAACGATAATTCCCCCCACTAGTTTGTACACTATTAGTGGTGCCTTATAAATTAAACATTTTAAATGATGGACCATTCTAGTGGAATACTCGAATTATGTAATTAGGTTGATTTGTAATATTCGAAATGTTCTAAAATATATTATTAATATTATTATAAAAATAGTTGAATTTCTTATCGCAGTCCTCAGATTATATTCTATACTAAAACCGGTTTTTGACGGCGGACGCCTACTCTCAATTGTATTCCTCTTCTATTTTTACTTTTGAAAAATGTTGAAGTGTGAATAAACAATGCAGATCAGGGTTGGTAAAAAATTATTTTTTTTTAAAAAAAACAAACAAACAGCTTTTTATGTTTTAAACATGACCTTTATGTTTTAAATATGTTTATTATCAAATATTTATTTTTTATTTTTTAAACTGTTTTAATCTCTTAATTTATTGTTTAATATTAATTAAAACTTGTTTTACATCATATCATATCATCAATCAACGGATTCAATCTGATTTACCAATGTCTTGTACATTATTTTTTTAATCTTTGAAGGCGCATAACCTCCAAATAATAATTTTGTTATCACACTCAACAACATTAAACACGTGCGTATATCAATTTCGAAAATAAATGCATAAACTGTTCATTGGTCTACGATATCATAGTGATATCTGAGAAATGAAAAAATATTACAGTCGACTCTCAGTAACTCGAAGTTCAAGGGGAAAAAAAAAATTCGACTTACTAAAAATTTCGAGTTATCAAAAACTTTTAAAAAGTATGTTTTTATTTTTATATAATATGTATTTAATTTATTTAATAATTTATACTATTGTTTTGAAAAAAATGTAATAATTAAATATATATTTGTATATTACAATATATAAAGTTACGGTATACAATTTGAACCTGTCGCGAAAGAGCAATTCGAATCATTATACAAATTCAAAGTGATTACTGCTGGATTATTTGTTGATCCTACACTACCTTATTTAGCGGCATCACCTGACGGACTTATTGGAGATAATTCAATAATAGAAATTAAATGTCCTTTTTCAATAAGAGATTTAACGCCGGAAAATGCATACAAGGAGAAGAAAATTAAATATTTAGAACAAAAAGACAACAAATTAGTTTTGAAGAATAGCCATGATTATTATTTTCAAGTACAGGGTCAACTACACATTACGCAAAGGAAATTTTGTTATTTTGTAGTATGGACACCTAAAGGTAAACATACATAATCATACCTTAAATTATTTACATGTTTACATTGATAAAAGTACTATAGACATCGTAATCATTGAATTAATTTTTTTTAGGAATGTTGGTTGATTTAATTGAACGAGATGATTTATTTTGGAAAGGTAAAATGGAAATACCTTTATCAGAATTTTACCTCAACCACATGATATTAGAAATTATTTCTCCATCATATTCAATTTGAGCTTGGACTTCATAATTTTGTACTTGATTCGAAGTGTATATAAAACGTGTATATTACGTGAACTTGTAGTAATTTACAAATAAATTTCTTTATTACTTATAACGATTAAGTATATAATTTTTATTAGCAAGTGTAATCTATATAAAGAGTATTCCACTTTCGACTGAAAAAAAAAAAAATATTGACATTAGATAACTCAACAAGATATCAAAGCTTTTCACGTAAGTCATATTGTGGATCAAAAGTAATGATTGACAAATGGTTTTGGTGCGCGGTTGGAATGAGTAATAATATAAAATATAATACCTAATAATAATAATAATAAAATAATAATAATAATAATAATAATAATAATAATATCTACGTGGCTTGCGTTGTCGACCATGCTTCGCTCCCCACCACAGACATGACGAGGCTGTACGACAGATTCCGACCGTGTCAACGCACACTAATGGTAATTTACTTTGCACACAAACAAACTGCGTAACGTGAATAAAACATTGAATTGCCTATACACGGCCCCTTATTAAATCACCGCTTCCAATCCCCTTAACGAAATAAAAAAGAAAATTTACATGTTATTATTTTTAAAGAATTGGTGTAAAGTTAATTGTTTTTGTTTATTTAACACTATATTGTTCTCAATTCTATTTTCTAAAATACCGAGTGGCTTAAATAAATCTTCCATACCTTCATTGCCTTCAATATATTTACGTAATGTTTCTAATGCAAGTGTTGCTTCTTTATTTGTAATGGTGGATTGTACTTGTTGGTCTTCGAATTCTTCTTGGTTATCTTCGTCCAATATATCGGAGATAATATCGTTCTCAATCCATTCTCCACAAATATCCAAATTTTCATCGACATTGACGTATGATGTAAAGGTTTCATCAATATTTATTTTCTCCGTTAATTGATCCCATTCATCGTTATTATCATCAGAAGGATCATAAGGAGTGTTTTCATTGTTTTCAATTGAAGTTTTAAAACCTGATTTTGTAAAACAGTTTACAATCGTTCCTTTTTTTACGTGTCGCCATGCTTTATCGCATAGCCGTATAGCATCCAATATGTTTATTATGATTTGATTGTTACCATTTATAGCCGATATAATTTTTTTTACCATTTCTTTTCGATAAAATATTTTAAATTATTTATTATGCCTTGGTCTAATGGTTGTAATACAGACGTAGTATTAGGAGGTAAAAACTGCACTTGAATAGCATTTAAAGTTTAAGTCAAATTGTGTGCAGTACAATTATCTATAAAAAGTAAGATTTTTCTTTTCTCGGTGACCATTTTTTTATCTAATTTCATTAACCACAAATTAAAAATTTCAGACGTCATCCAGGATTTTTTGTTCGCATGATAATCTAATGGTAATGATTTTACTTGTTTAAAACATCGTGGTTTTTTCGACTTACCAATCAAAAGTGGTCTTAATTTTTCAGTGCCCGACATATTCGCCCCTAACAGAAGTGTTACTCTTTCTTTACTATGTTTTCCACCTGAACAAGATTGGCCTTTAAACATAAATGTATTTTCAGGTAAACATTTGAAAAATAATACTGTTTCGTCAACATTAAAAATATCGTCTGGAGAATAATTTTCGATGAGTTTCGGTAAATTATTTATCCATACGGAACATTTTTGTACATCTACAGCGCCACTTTCACCACAAACTTGTTTAAAAACAACATTATTTCTGTTTTTCCAATTTGTTAACCATCCACTGCTGGCTTTAAAATGTACATGCCCTAACTTATACCCAAATTCTTCAGCTTTTTCTCGTAGAATGGGTCCATTTATTGGAATTTTTTTGTCAAGACATTGTTAAAACCATTTTAATAAACAGGATTCTATATCAGAGTATTCTCCTAGTTTCATTTTTTTTCGAGTTGTCGAGTTTCATTAAAGTTTTTCAAAATTACCTCTTTACTTTTTATTATTGTAAATAATGTACTCGCTGGAATTCCAAAATCTTTTGCTATTTCTTGTTTTTTCTTTTCACCTTTTTCAATAATTCTAAGTAAGTTCACTTTTTCTGCAAGTGATAATGTTGTTAATTTTCTTTTTTGAGCCATAATAACCACTGATTTAACACTGTTACACTCGCTCAACAAACGGCAAAGAACTAAAAATGAAATCTATTGTATGAAATTATCAAGGTTTAAGTTACAAACATTTAGTTGATTATAATGGTCGGGTTTTACAAAACAAGTGATAGGCGAAAAATAATCGCCTTGATGGGGTTTCGTCAATTGCGCCGAATTTGGGACACTACCTGTATAGTATACATCTATTGCACCGGTATAAAAAAGGTATATTAAAAAGGTATACATCTATTGCGCCGGTATAAAAAAGGTATATTAAAAAGGTATACATCTATTGCGCCGGTATAAAAAAGGTATATTAAATAGGAATACATCTATTGCGCTGGTATTAAAAAAGTTATATTAGTTAAAAGTAAATAAAAATAATTTACATATATATTACATACAAATTTATCTTTCTGATGAAGTGCCTTGAATCTTAATCTCAATCTAAAAAAATTAATTTAAAATTAGAAAATGTAATACAATAATATAATTCAAACTTACCTATGATATAGATAATATATTAGATTAAAACACGTAAAAACCGATATGTAGTTATAATAGAAATAGTATTATAGACGTTTATATATATTTAAGAATCGATCAGCGTAATTGACGTACATCATTTATTAATTCGACATTAAAATATCGATCGGCGCAATTGACGTACACAATTTATAACATTGGAATATCAATCGGCACAGTTGATGTATACCTTTTTTCTATCCCATAATTTTTCTTTCTTTACCTGCGATTTTCGGCGCAATTGATGTATGCCCGCCTTGATAAACTACTTTTAGTACTAAATTTGGATAAGAAAATTCGAGATATCGAAAATTTGTCAAATTAATTTTCGAGTTACCAAGATTATTTAAACATTAAGTGTAATTGTTATTTGGAGGGGAATTTTAATTATTCGAGACATCGAGAATTTCGAGTTATCAAGGTTCGAGTTACCGAGAGTCGACTGTATATACGTTGTGTCGTTATATGATTATTAATTATTATTTATTGTAATATTTATTACATTTAACTCTTTGAAGCACAATGGGATAAAATATAACCCACCAAATTAGAAACCGTTGCTGCATGGTGGTACGAAAAATAACCCACCATTTTAATAATATTTTCTACCTTCTCTTAACAATTTTAATAAGAAATAAGTTAATGTTATGTTATAAATACATGTTAGTAGTGTGTATAATTTTATACTAGACATTTTACTGAGAATTTCCTTACTTTTTTTCTTTTTGAATATTGTGTTCATGATAAAATATATTTTATTTATAGATTTTAATTGACCATGAATTACACAAAAATAGGTTTATTTTAGTGGTTTTCATTTTTACGTGCTATAAAACTAGTATTATTTATATTGATGATGGAAACATCATTATATACAAACCAGTTCAGACTTAATATTGAAAATAATCGGTGTACAAATTATAACCCACCGTGCTTGTAGTGACGGAAATAATCGATATACTATAATCATCAAGTATATTTGACTATTTATTATTTTCAAGCCCTAAATGAATTGTAAACAATTAAATTTATCAATTAAATAATTTTTACAATCTATAAAATTGGTTTTTGACAAACTGACGATGAAAATAACATTATTTGGATTTTAGAAATTTGATACATTGAAAGTTGACAGTTTACAAAATCTAATCGACCGTGACGGTAGTGTTTCTTGTGGCATAATAATTATTAAAATGATTTCTTTGCAATTAAACGAAAATTCTATAGTTGACTGTCTTTACGAAGATTTGCCATCAGACGATCAAAGTTGTACGACAGTAGATGACACAGATGATGATCAGGATTACTTACCTCCACAAAAGGCCATAATCGTAGTAGAAGACAATGAAGCTAGTGATGATACAGGTAATGCAGATGAAGATTTAGTAGACATACTAAATTTAAATGACAATGAAATTTTAAAATTACCTAGTCCATATAAAATTTATAAAAATATAAGAAGTTTTAATAAAAATATTTCTCGTTCATTATTTTCTTCCGGCCCCACGTCCAGTTCAACAATTACTTTAAGTACACCAGAGGTACTTTTACCGAATATTTCAAATAAAGATAATTCTTCCCAAATTTAAGTGTCTAATAATACCCAAAATAATGACGAATTCAATTTCATACCACCGACATGGTCAAAAAACAATACATTTTCAATAAACCCACTATCCGATTTTATTGGAACAACTGGCCCTAGTGATTTAATCGACAAAGAACAAGATCATACACCATTTTCAGTTTTTAAACTCTTATTTTCCGATGAAGTCATTAATTTAATAGTAGAACAAACAAATTTATATGCCCAGCAAAGATATATGAAGACAGGAAAATTGTATATAAAAACTACCAATCAAGAAATTATGACATTTCTAGGTATAAATATACTGATGGGTATAAAAATGTTACCTAGCTATAGAGATTATTGGTCATCAGCACCAGACCTTCACGACAGTTATATAAGTCAACTAATGACGAATAATCGTTTTGGTTGGTTGCTGTCTACTATACATTTAAATGATAACAACATGATACCTAAAAAAGGTGAAATAGGTTATGATAAACTTTATAAAGTTCGGCCATATTTAACAATTTTAAAATATAATTTTCAAAAGTATTATAATCCTAACAAAATTATTGTGGTCGACGAATCAATGATCAAATTTAAAGGACGATCTACTTTGAAACAATATATGCCGAAAAAGCCTATTAAAAGGGGATACTAGGTTTGGTCACTAGCAGATAAAAAAGGATACTTATGGAACTTTGAAATATATTCAGGTAAAGTTGGTGACAATGTGGAAAAAAATTTAGGAGGTCGTGTTGTGAAAGATTTATCATTTCCATTACAGAACAAAAACCATCATCTTTATATTGATAATTTTTTTACAAGTTTGCCCCTTCTATCATATTTGAAAACGAAAGGAATAAATGCTTGTGGAACAATAAATTT